TTGAAATAAGCAATTTAATTATAATTGAATATTTAAAGACAATAATTATACAACATACAAATTATAATTAATAATATACTGATGAGTGCAATTAACTCATTAAACAAACACCTTTTAAATTGTAGTTTTTAGATTTTTTTTAGCACTTTTGAACGTTTTGATATGTGTGTTAATGTCTTTTTGTAGTTTAAATACATTGGAGAAAATTACGTATTTTGGAGCCTTAGATGAAGCCATGCGTGATCATAAAAATTGGATTCGAAGAGGAGGTGAAACTATCACGTTTTCATCCACTAATAATTGTATTTTCATGATTTATTGACGCCTAAATGCTCTAAGTACACTTGCATTTTGGGAGTGAATTGTTTCAAAACTTACTGAACTTATACCTTGGTATATGACTGCTCACTAAATTTCATTGTGCTTCGAAATACTCACTCAACTTTACCTTTTACCTCTCCATCCATCACCGTCAAAAATTTTGTTTGTGGGTCGCTGACGTGGTAGACGGATTTCCTAGCTGGCAGTCTGACGACTGTTAAAATTCCAACTCACACACGCTGGACCAATTAAAACACGCCATCTTGGATTTTTAAACAATTTTTTAACTTTAAAAAAAAAAGGCAATTCAAAAACCATCCATCGTCTATTTCAATTCACTCCCCAAATCGACTCCCCTCTCCTCAAATTCCAATCGATTTGGGAAAAACATAAACCCTAGTCCCCAAATCTCTCAAATCCAGCCCTACCCCACCTCTACCCCACCTATTGAATCCTTACCGAATGTGGAAATGGAGGGACCACACGAGGTAAATTTGAATAATTTTGTCTTTGGTTTCTTGTCAGTATTCGCACGGGTGGTCGGCCAGAATCTGAATTTTTTTCTTTGTGGGGTAGCTTTCAACTGTGTTTACGTTTTGTTTAGGTTTATAAATTGTTTGTTGAAACGGTTAATTGATGGATGACAGAAAATTTGCAGACTATGACCCATTTGAAGAACTTACCGTACCTGCAAATGACAAACCTTCAGACCACAAAGATTCATCTGATAGGCAAGAATCTAGTTCAGACGAGGACCCAAACTTCATTGATTCTGGGAATGAATTGGACTCCGAAGGGGATGACATGCTTTATGAATTGCATGTAACGGACGGGATAGAAATAGGTTCGAATGTGATGGAAGCGGTAGTACAGAATCAGCCGAAGATGATGATGTGGTCGATGACTTGGAGTACCCAAGTTCTGAGGAGATTCAGGCTGATTGTGTATCCGATGAGGAGGTTAGCC